ACTCATAGCAGCCAAAATAGCTGAATGTAAATAACACAGAAGTTGCTTCATGAGTCTGAAGTCATTCAGAGGTGCCTCAACTGCTAATGATGCATTTGTCCAGGCTCATATGTGAATAATCACAAAAAACATAGCCATATTCCAGATACTGCGTTCTTCTGATACTACCATGTTAAACTGGCAACAAAACAGCTGCATTTGGTGGCATAAATAACTTTTGATATTCATTGCACTAGGTACATGGCTTCAGACATTAGATATTGCACTCCTTGAGAAAGAAAATCATCAAGAAATATAATTGAAAGCTCAAGGAACACCTTGTAGTCATCTCATGGTTGTTGACATTCCAAATATTTTTGTGCAAATTCTAGGTTGTCAATAAGATGTTGTGACATGGATGCCTGGAAAGGCGTGCAATTGCACTCTATTGATGACCATGCATTAGTTGTTTTTTTTTGTGTGACAACTTAACCACAGCTTTTTAGATTTTTAAAAACATTTTAAAAATGTACTAAATAAAGTATAATGTAATAAAGCGAGAAATTGTTTTTAAAGATTGTATACTATATAAAAGACATTTATTTAAATTATCAAAAAATATGATATTGTTAAAAAGTGTATTTTTTACAATTTTTACAATTAATGTAAATGTTTTTAAAACATTTTGTACAATTAATTTTACAAACAACAACGAAAATGATTGTTTTATTAACTTTTTGATAAATCCATAAATTTAATAGTCGAAAACATAACAAAGTTTTTTTTTTTTTTGATGCTATTTTTAAAACCTTCTAAACAAGTTTGTTTACACTAAGCTAAGCGCTTTTAAATTTGGTTTTAAAATGCTATTAAATAAATTATCAGAATGTTAATCAAAACTTTTATTTATTAAAAAAGTATTTTTTTCTAATGATGAATGTAATTTTTTTTAAACAATTTGTATTCTTAATTTTATAAACAATGACTACAACTAATGCATTTCAATAAACTTTTTTTTAAGGCAAAGTATATATCAATTTAAATAAAGTTAGTTTTTTATTTAATTATAATTTTTTTTTTATTTAAAAGAGTTTGCCTAATATTTTAAAAACATTAGAAAAGTTTGATGGTTTGTTGCGTTGGTTTGAAATGGTTAAAACTGAAATGTTTTGTTTTAGGAAAATTTTTTAAAAAATCTTAAAATTTTTTTAAGTGTTTAATTAAAATTATTTATATTATTATTTTTTTATTTGTTTATATATTCTGTTTTTGATTGATATATATAAATACATAAATAAATAAAAAGTAATCATAAATATTTTTATTTAGACACTAAAAAAAATAATGATAAAAAGAATTATTTATTGCTCTCCCAATATATAAAAAAATCAGTTGAAACCTTGTCAAATCAATGCAATGAGTTATTCAATCTTAAAGTAATTACAAAACATAATTTAAAATGATTTTCTATTAAAGTTTTGGTTTATCAGGTTCATATTAGTTGATTTTTTTTTAGAACTATTGGTTTAATTTTTTTTTTGTCAAGATTGGAGTAGTCAAGATTGGAGTATGATTGCATGCCTTTCCTGTCTGCAACAGTTCTGCACAACCAATTCAAAGTTCTGAAACTTCCTGAGCACTTGCTTTCTAAAGATCCTTCTCAGATGGAAGAAGACAAAACCTACAACTAACCACTACATGTAGTAAAAATTATAGATGTCGTTAACTTTATTGCCCATTATAAGCAATCCTTTAAAAATAAAAAGTACTCATAAGACACCATGCTGTCATAATACATGTAGGAATTGAAAAATAAAAATATAAATGATTTTATATTGAATTGGTCCATCTTTAAAACAGTACCTGCATATAATATTATTTCCAAAAAATGGATATTATTGTGGATATATTATGTCTGGATATTATTAATGGATATTATTAATGGATATATTATGTCTTAAAGAAAAGTTTGAAATAATTAAACATGCAAACCAAGAATGAATAAAAAATCGGAACTGATTTCTAAATGCAGGCATGGAAAAATTCTCTCCTAAAAAACTATAAAGATAAGAAAACCCAAGGAATATTTATAATAAATCCCCCTTTAAAAATATAAAACTATAAGTAAACTATTCTAAAGGATTTTTTTAAATAGTGTCAACAAATGTGTGAAATATTTCAGTAGTTAAGATTTTCTGTAGTTCAATTTTTGGTATATTTTGAGATTTTATTATTTTGATCATTAATAATGATAAAAATATAAAACTTATAGTTTTATATTTTTAAAGGGGGATTTATTATAACTATTCCTTGGGTTCGCTTATCTTTATAGAAAAATAATGACATTATTTTCTGATGAGTCTTTATATATATACATATATATATATATATATATATATATATATATATATATATATATATATATATATATATATATATATATATATATATATATATATATATATATATATATATATACATATATATATACATATATATATATATATATATATATATTATATATATATATATATATATATATATATATATATATTTATATCTATATTATATATATATATATATATATATATATATATATATATATATATATATATATATATGTATATATATATATATATATATATATATATATATATATAACACTTAATTAAAAAATAAATAAACATAGCATTTTTATGACAGCGTTATTAAGTTTTCTTTGATGTATTTAGAATTCCCTTACTTTATCATCGTTTCCAGGTAGACGGGGACCATATAGTACAGCCCATAATTAAAAATCTTTTTAATCTTTATTTAATTGTTGTTATTATCAATTTATTGTTAGTCACAAATCACAGCAATAAACGCTTCCATAAGGGTCCATAAAGATATCTTAACATTAGATTTCCCCCCCCCCCCCCTCCGCATTTTCTCTTGAATTCAAAGCCTTTTATGCAGATATGCAGGTAGGGCTTCCAATACCGGATCTAAAATTAAATACCGCTTTATCGGTATTAAAACCGGTTTACCAGTATTAGTACCGATATTTACAAATCAAAAAAACATTAAAACCGAAAGCAACAAATAAACGGTTAAGTCGGTTAATTGCGTAAGTTAAGTTAAAATAATACAGTCCAGTAAACGGTTAATTGCGTAAGTTAAAATAATACGTAAAACTAATTCTTTTTTTTTTTTTTTTTTTTTTTTTAATATAAAAAAAAAAAGTTATTTTTTACTGAAATAGGCCCGCAAAAAACATAAATTTTTTAAGTATTTTTGCGGTTATTTTTGCAAGTATTTTAATTAAGCTATTCGTTTAAAGATGATCGAATTTTAACACATCCCAGTGGGAAAAAAGACGTCGAAAGACGCCTTTAAAAGTCTTATATACGATGTCTTTATGATATATTATGTCGATGCAAATCTAAAAGACTATATTAATATTATGTCGATGCAAATCTAAAAGACATTATTTTTCGACATCGAAAAGACGTCTTTTTTATCTTAATCTTGTCATGAAAAGACATAAAGAATGCGTCTTTAAGGACGCCGTTTTTTGGTCGAATATGCAAATCTAAAAGATCTTTTTTTGACATCGAAAAGACGTCTTTTTTTATCTTATTCTTGTCATGAAAAGACATAAAAAATGCGTTTTTAAGACGCGTCGAATATCGTTGGGGATAGTGCAAAACCGCGTAACTAACATTTTATAATACAGCGTATCTAAAGTACATTTTTTTTACTGGAAAAGTTTAAAACTTTATTTATTTTTTATTTTAACTGATTTTGGGTTCATTTTAGTAAAAAGAGTATCATTCATGTTTTTTGTAATCTCAACAATAAATATTTGATGTTAAAATTAATAATATCCAAATATAGTAGCCAATGCTAGTTACGCGGATTTGCACTATCCCCGACGATATGCAAAACATGATATGCAAAACACGATATGCATAAACATCTTTTTTCGACATAGAAAATGCGTCTTTTTTAATCTTAATCTTGTCATGAAAAGGCATAAAAAATGCGTCTTTAAGACGTCTTTGTTTATCAATTATGCACTTCTAAAAAAGTGTTTTTTCTCGGGGTCGGAACTACTTTTTTGTCATACTAATTAGTATACTATAGTATCCTATACACTATAGTATTTCTACTTTTCTAATATGAAAAACTATCTTTTTCAAATAAAAATGATAATAGCTCTTCATACAAACTATGACAAAAGGCTTTTTCCGATGCCGAGAAAAAAAACTCTTTTAGATGTCAATATAAAAGAGGAAGCATTTTCTACATCTTTTATATGTTTAAATATAGGAGAATAATTTATAAATAAAACAATAGTATTGTTCAACAGAATATTTTTTCGTCTTTCTCTTTTTTTTATGTTTCTTGAACGATCTCTGTTTCTTGGCGTTGTTGAATAAAATTAACAATTTCACGTCGAGAAATCCTTTCATACAAGCAAGTTACGACTTCTAGCTGGTTACCACTTCTAAAAAACAAGTGAACATAAAAAACAGTCTATTGCTTAAATGTAATACAAAAAAAGCAAACGAAACTTGATTAGCTGAGTGGAGCACATTATACTTACCGACTATTAATTCAAAAAGGGATGATCGTTTTAATCCACTCATGTTTCCAGCGCAGTCCCTACTTTTTGAACCCACCAGGTTAGATTGGGACAGGAGTCAAACGGTAAACAGTCTAAAAATATATAAAAATGAGTGTGCTAAATAAATTTACAACCATCAAAATGACTGTACAACGATGTATTTTATTATGTAGTACTTAAATCAAGCTAAACATTTGCACCTCTCAGATTTGCTATGAAAGCCAAGTTATTGAAAATAGATATTGATATTTTTCTGTCTTCAATAACATGATTTTTTAATTGAATTTCGCTGAAATTAAGTGTTGTAGACTCATAACAATTTAAAAATGCGTTATTGACTAAAGAATATCAAAACAAAAAGATAATTCAGCTAATACATCTTAAGAGTTATTATTCATTTAAACTAGAAAAAAGTATTAATCAAAGCTCTTTTTTAGCCTGAAACATAAGGATGCTTTACTTAACAACATAAAATCATAAAAACTGACAATATCATTAGCAACACAGATGAAATACACATAAACAAAAATGAAGCTGCAGTAATGTTTAGATATAAGAAAGTGTACCTTTCCAATATCATTTTCACTTGGTTTTTTGTATCCAAACCAAAAATTTTGCGAACAGTTCTAAAGATTAATCTGTTGTCATTATGTGTATTTTTATAATTGCTATTTTTATAATTGACAGACAACAGTTAATAAGGAAATAACATATTTAACTTAAAAGTTAAAGAGCCAATCTTTTGTATAAACAATTTCATCATTAAACTAAATAAAAACAACAAAATTATTCAGATCATTTAAAAATATATTAAAAAAAATTGCAAGTCTACTGAATGCTTTTTTTTTTTCTATCGTTCGTTTTACTGGCAATAGTTTCCAATGAACATTGCAGTACAGTTGCATTAATTGAATGTCAATCTCCTCCTGAAGCATGTTTTCACAAGTAAATATAGAGAGAAATTGTTTACAGGTTTTTTTTTTCGTCTGAAAATAAATATTTTAATTTAATATGTAATAAACAACGTTCTTCAAGCACAATACATTAAAAAATTAGTCTAAAAATAAATGGTAAAATTTTTTAAAACGACTAACTTAATTGAGACTAGATCATATCGATACCATCTTACTGGAAGCACGCCATCCACTTTTGCTTCTTCCGAATTACATATCTTCGCTAAACAGCTGCAATTGTATATTTATTTCAATATATATATATATATATATATATATATATATATATATATATATATATATATATATATATATATATATATATATATATATATATATATATATATATATATATATATATATATATATATATATATATATAGGTACCCTCGTACGCGTCCGTTTTTTTATTTTGACATCGCTTTTATAAAGTTTCTAGATTTCCGTGTTTTTCCACACAACGCTATATGCATAAAGGAAAGAGTGTTTAAAAGCTAGCTAAAAATTAAACTGTCAATTTTTATTATATTTTTTTATTTTTTAAAAAATTGCGATATTTTCACTTTTAACGAATCCTGCCAAAATAGGTAATTTTCATATAAAGAATTTAATATACCAATATAAATGCTCATAAATGATTTTGACATGCTCAAATAAATTCTTCATAGATCTTTCATTTGATATATAATAACCGATACTTCAAAATCTCATTCATGTTTCAAAAAGATGCATACAGTTGCTACCGCCATATAATTTATTGTTTATAGCGCCATTTTTTAAATTATTGTCATTGTTGTTTTTTACTTTTCTTTACTTTAGATGGACCACAAGACTGCAAGCGATATTTGCGTTTTAATTAATTCATATAAATGCCAATCGAAGCCTTTGTTAAATGGTGACATTTACAAAATTTTTTCTGAAAATAATTTCAAATTATCAAAAACCTGTCTGAAATTAAAAACCCAAACATTGGACCTCAAAATGCATCTGATTTTAAAATATTCTCTAACAATAAAAGATACTTGCATGAAAAGATAAAAATCAAAAAAAAAAACCCTACCCAGTCATGGGCTGCTATTGTTAATTTTTTGCAGCAACCACTTAAATATGAAAGAAAAAGAGATAGTTCTAATACAAATATTCACTTAAACGTTGCAAGTGATTTAAATATTGCTTCAGACACAATGCAGAGAATAAAGTGTGGTTCATGCAAAATAAAAAAAGATGAAATATGTAGTTTACATGAAAAAAACAGAATACTGCAGCAGAGAGTTTGTTTTTTGAAAAAATCAATGACCCGTAACAAGCTTACAAACAAAAAATTTAAAAGACAGTGTTTTTCACTAAATTTGTGGAAATTGAAATATTCAGAAGAAGAAAAAAAAAAATCAGCAGAATAAGTTACATTCTCTAGATTTCATTAATGAATTGAGAATTCTTAAAATTAGTAGATTGAAGTTGCAACAAAATGTTAAAAAGATAGAAAGGAAACACAAAATTGCTATCAAAGAATTACAGGGACAGATAAAAATCAAAGAGCAAGAAAATAAATAACTTATTGAACAAAATCATTATTTAATTAGTATTGTTTTAGAAAAAAAAAAGATAATAGGTTACTAATAGAAACCAAAAAATTAAAAACATATGACCTACCCATAAGAAAATGTGTTCATGCTGCTATTATTAACAATGTGCCTGTGGAAAGTCTCATTTTTGTTAGAAAAAATTTCTGAACTGTTACACAACACAGAACTGCAAGAAACACCTCACTCATCCACAGTAAATCGAATGGCATATGAGCCAGGTGTTTTAGCATTGGTTCAGGCTGGTGAGGCGCTTTTTTTATTATGAATGTGCAACAGTAGTGTTTGATACAACCACCGTTTTAGACAAACATGTAAATGAGTTTCTTATCAGTACCTATCCTCCGCAGAGATGTTATTCCTTATCAACCGCTAAACTTGCTGGAGGTAAAGGATTTGACTGTGCCACTCATATTGTCAGTGTAATAAAAGAACTTGCCAAAACATTTGCAGAGTTTAAAAATATGCCAGCAGGAGAAGTTTTAGATGTATTCACTCAAAAAATCAAAAGTTGTCTGTCAGACAGAGCACCTGTTAATAGTTGTGTGAAAAACATGCTTCAGGAGGAGATGGACATTCAATTAATGCAACTGTACTGCAATGTTCATTCATTGGAAACTATTGCCTTAAAAGCATTATTAGCTTTTAAAACAATAAATAATGAGTTGAAGATAAAACCGGCTAAAGGAACTGATGGGGTTGCAGTAACAGTCCTCAAAAATATTTCTAAGTTAAGGTAATCTTTCATGAGTATATCTTTCATAATTTGAATTTTTTTTTAGTTTTATTTTCTTGTGAGCAATTATTTCTTTATTATTTCCAAGTTTTGAAAATTTGAAATTTTAATTTTTTTGCCCTTTAAAATCAGGTATAGTTTTAAAGGCGATCCTACAGCATTCAAAAGCTATCTTAAAAAAAACAATGTTGCTCCAGGGCTACTCCTTAGATATGTTGGTATTAGATTTCATGTTTTGTTCCATATGGCAGGGATTGTTGTTACATACGAAAGACTTATAAAAACCTTTCTTGAAAAGTATTTTTTTTTTAGATGAATATTTGGTTTAATAGAATTCCATGAATGACCATTTTCTCGTTATTCTAGAAACACCAAAAATAAAATTTGCCAGCTCTTACTTCAAGATATGAGTAATGATATAATGCTTGTGCAACTGCAAGGGTTGGGCCTTATAGGAAAAATAATAACTGGGCCATGGATGAGTCTGGTTTATAAAAATGCAACAGGAAAGAGTAATCTTGAGTTTGTAAGTTTTTATGGTTTTTTAATAAACAAATAAAGTAGTTTAAAAAATGTACAAAAATTATTTTTTTATTAGGGTGACATTTTCCAGAAAGCAATAAGGAAATTAGCTTACTTCAAAAGTAATCCAGAAACAATTCTTTATACAGATGTGGATATTTTTAGTCAAGTATTAAATATTAAAAAAGATAAGGTACACCAATCCCTTCGTGTAATAAAAAATAAAAATATTTTAGTAAAGATTTTATCAGCTTTGATAAGATACACAGAGACAGTTCTCAAAAGACAGATGGCCAGGTATTTGACTGACAATCTCTCAAATCCATCTAAAGAAACGATAAAAAACACACTATCTACTCCACCTCATACAATGGAGGCTGAAAGGATCTTGGGCATGCTTAATTTTTTTTTGCGTCGTGCTCCTAATGCTACTTTTGGTTTTCTGGATTCAAAAATAAAAGCCAGGGTAAACAAAACATTAACATGGCTTGATAAGAAAACATTGCCAGAACAAGAAGATCTTATTCAATTTGTAATTCGCAGAGGAGCTTTAACGTGTCAAGCCTCTAAAAATTTTAATAATCTTTTGTATGAAGAACTAAGAAAAAGATAGGCTAAAGCTAATTTAAAAAAAGAACGTCTGGAAAGAAAGCAACTAGAGAAGGGTATTGAAAGAGCAATAGCTGAAAATGCCAAAACCACATATCCTCTTTTTGTTAATATTGATGAAAAAAAAACAAATTTTAGGAGTAGTTTTGAAAAATGGAAATTTGATTGGGCAGCTCTTAAGCCATAAATGGGAGCTAGATGATGGTAATATACATTTATTTTTTGGTAGAATTGTTGATCAAAAGGTAGCAACAAAAAAAAATCTATTACATACACAATAGGATATTGGAAAGTCAATGAAGATGAAGCTGAAGATATTGACATAAGCCAGGAAGGAGTTATAGCAGATCTTATACTTAAAGACCTGGAGTTCATTTAAAAAATACTATAATATATTAGGCATTATTATCTTTTATTTTGTTTATGTTGATTATTTTGTATACATTTTTATTTTTTCCTTTTAATTTTTAAAATTTTTTATATTAACCAAGAGCAGACACAGGGTTATTTTATCGAATGTAATTTTTAAATTTATAAAAACGCTCTAGCATAATATGTAAGCAGTTCCATCTATTCTTATTATTTAATATTAATGACAGTTCTTTACAATGTTCAGTTTTAAGAAAAACCTGATGAATTTCATTTTTTGTTGGTGATCGTCTAAACAGCTTTACAAGTTTTCCTAATCAATGGAGCCAAATTATTTGCAAGTTCATTTGAATTTAGTGAGCTCTGAAAAATCCTTAATCCGTATAAATTTAATCAGTCTTCTCTTTATTGTGCTTGCCATTTTCTCTCCCCTGATTCCATTCTCTACCTTAATTTCTTTTTCTTTTCATTCCTGTATGGAATACTGTAGTCATATTTGAGCTGGTTCTTCTAATGATGCTCTTTTTTAAATTATCAGTAATTGTAAACGTAGTTAGATCCGATTTGTCTGCTAAGCTTGAACCTCTTCATCATTGTCGTAAAGTTGTATCTCTTTTTTTTTTATACAAATGCGATCATGGTCGCTGCTTAAAGATGCTATCATCTTTAGTTCCATCAACTAAAAGTCACTCTAGCTTGACTCGTCATTTATCAAAGCCTCATTCTTTTACTGTAACTGTCTCTGCATGCTCCAAAAACTTTTATTCGTCTAGTTTTTTTCCCCGCACTTTTCTCTCCCATCTTCATGTTTTATTGACTCATACAACCTTCAAATTTTCAGGTCTTCTGTTAACCGTTTCTTCGCTCTATTATTCTATTCTTTTTTTTTAGTAACTCCCAACTTAATAGTGATTGCTTGCAGTTGTTAGTTTATGGACATTAATTGTCCTACTTTCTTCATTACCGAAGCACCATCCGTGGTAATAC